CCGTGTATGTGAGGTTTGAAGGGTGATCCGTTACAGGCGCCAAAATGCTTCCTGCAGGTAGATGGGGGGGTTCTCCAGGTGCCGTTGTGGGAGGCTGCATTGGATGGTGTGTTCATTGATTCTGGGAAACATGCACAGAGGCCCCATTGTCTTCGGCAAAGGGCACCAGGTGCCAGTTACTCAACCTCTTGTAGGAAATTCATCCCCAGAGCGATGAGTTGGATTGGAATGTTGGCAGTAAATGGCTGGCCTCGGTGGTAGTCACAGAAACTGAAATTGTCTTTTCTACTTCCTGTTGGTTTTTGAACTGGCACCCCCGGGGGTGTTTTAGGTTTCTTTCGTTAGAGGAAATACTTAAATCAAAGGAAGACTTTGAAGACGGGCGGCAGGAGCCTCGCCGGTTGCTGTTTGCTCGTTTGTACATGATGCAGAGAGCACGGGTTCGAGGCAGCCTCCCCACCTGTTCCGGCCGGTTCCTTTGCTTCCTTACCTGGGCTTCGGTTTCTTTAACTGTAAAGAGATGAAGCCACATGTGGTTCGCGGGGGACAGACCTGGTTTGCAGCTGCTCTCCTGTGTAATTATTAATAGCAACACTCTTGCTCTCAAAGGTATCGGGGTTTTGATGTAGATGATATCTCGCTGTGCTGTGTCCCTCCGGCCTCCCGAGAGTGTTATAAGGGCGAGTATATGGATGTCTGTAAAGTCCTGTGTGTGTAGGGCCTGGAACAACACACTGTGTGCTCAGATAGTGATGATTACTTTTATTAAACTTTCCAAGCCAGACATCAAAGAAAATGGCACAATAGACAATGTCTGGTCTATGAAAATTTGGCTACCTTCCCAATCATCTTGCCTCTTCTTCTGCCCACATGGAATTTTCTGCCTGAAGCAATGGATTTGAGTGTTTTGGCAGCTACTTAAAAAAAAAACAAAAAGATCTGATTATCCTGGCTTCACAGGTCATCCATATGTACAACTCCCAGGAGTCCTGCAGTTTCTGACTTGGTAATTCAAAACATTTCTAGAATTTGTCCCCACATTGTCTCCCATTTTCCTTAAGAACCCCTTGAAATGGATGTTTTAATACTTAGGACTGTTGTTTTAACAGTTTGGGATCCGAGTCTCAGAAACAGGGAATGCTTTCACATAACCACATAACTAGAAAGCGTCAGGGTGAGGATGGGTCCAGGGCTTCTCAGATTCAAATTCTTTTTACGGTACCATGTTACTTCTTAAAGGGTGACATTGCCACTCACCACCACCACCACCACCACCACCACCACCACCACCAATTTCTTCACTTTTGTTATGCCAGCTTTCAGCATCTCTCTCTCTCTCTCTCCATCTTTGGTTTGTCTGACATGCCTGAATAAGGATTCTGGAGGGTTTTGGGGAGAGGAGTGCCATGATGTGACTTACAGTGTGAAAAAGAGGATATACTGCTGGAAAGGAGGGGTGGGGATGGTTGATGAACAAAGACAGGAGCAGGAGACCAGTTACTGGGAACTGTAGGACCCAGGGCGTTACAAGATTTTGTTAGTCACCTTCCAGTCACTATACCAAATACTAAATAACCTTTTGTAAGAAGAGAAGGCTTATTCATGTCTCGTAGACTGGAGGTTTCAGCCCATGACAGGTTGGCTTCCTTGTCTGTGGGTCCTGTAGAAAGGCAACATTTCATAGCATTGAGAAATCAAGCAAAACCATCTCCCTGTGGCCAGAGGACAAATACTTCAACGGAGGAAGGAGCCAGAGTTCCATGCCCCCCTTTGAGGGCATTCCCCACCATGACCTAAATCCTCTCGCTTGGTCCCATCTCCTAACAGTCCCCACACGGATAGGAGGAAGCTTGGAAGCAGCCTGTAACACATGGGGTGGGTATCATCCAGACCACATCTTTCTTAATGGAACCCGTATGAAAGACTGCCACGGAGACTCAGCGGGGTTTTCCTGGTCCCTCTTGTGCTTAGAAACAGATTGGGTCTGGGAGCTGGACCAGTCTGAAAGTCATCCACCCTGGCCATTTCATCGGTAAATGGTGGGACTGTGAAACGACCACATTTGCATATTGATTTTGTGTTCCGCTTGCCTGGGAACTTTGCTGGCCAGAGAGGAGAGGGAGAGCTTTGAGAGCTTGGTTAAAATTGATTTGCTTTGCGAGTGAGTTGTCACACTGCAGCCAGCCCTGGGGATCCTCCCATGGCAACCAAAACTGCAGGGAAGTTCTGCCTGGCTGTGAAAGCTGTCGACTATGACGTCATCAAGGAAAGTAGGTTAGTGGGCCTGCAGAGCCGCCTCCTCGCCTCGCCTCCGCCTCCTCGCCTCCTCGGGGTGCTGAAGAGGCAAGAGTGGTGCTTGTCGCCGGTCCTTGGGGATGTCACCTGGTAAAGCAGCTCACCGGTCCTCCACCAGCCCAGACCTTCGCTTCCTCTCCTTTCACAGCTGTTGGACCAGGAGTTGCTTTTTCCTACCTTCCGAATTGATGCCGCCCGTTCTGCTGGAGTAAGCTTCTAACTCTCTCGACGGCGGCGAGTCAACATCAGACACGTGACTGTTCTCCCAACCGCCATGGCATTCCCAAATAAAATCAATTTTAGTATGCCTGTGCGGGTGTGGGAGTGGGTGTGCACCTTGCAGGTAGAGAAAAGTGGTAAAAGTCAGACTCAACCAGAGTGTTGAAACTTCAAGAGGACTGGAACTAATGGGTTTCCCTCAGCGGGCTCAGCTTCTGATGCCTCGGGAATCCGTTTGATAATCTTAACAGTCTACTTTAGTTTTGTACGAGTGTGAGCAAGCCCATGCCACAGTGTGGCCTTCCTCCCCTATCCTATGAGTTCCTGGGCTTGAACTCAGCAATGGCAAGGACCTTTACCCGCTAAGTCATCTTGCTGGGGATTTTGTAAGGACCTGTGTGCAGTCTGACCATGAGAATAGTGTTCAAGTTAGTGCCGTAATAAGTTGTCAGTGACACATGCTCAACTTATGCGCCGAGTGTCTTTGTTTAGTTACGAATATTAATCCACATTTCCCCTAGATTGAAAAGAAACTAGATGGTCTTTTTATGTTTTGCAAGTTAGCAACAGTAAAAGTAGATATTGAGATATTTAATTTTATATATATATATATATATACACACATGTTTTTCAAGATACGGTTTCTCTGTGTGGCCCTGGCTGTTCTGGAACTCAACTCTGTAGACCAGGCTCGCCTTGAACTCAGAAATCCATCTGCCTCTGCCTCCTGAGTGCTGGGATTAAAGGCATGCGCCACCACTGCCCAGCTCTGATTTATATTTTTAGCTCCACGGTGTTTCTATTATTCTTATTCTCTTTGCAATAAAAGAAAGATTTGTACTTGTTAATTTATGGTTTCTGCCTTTCCGAAGTCATTTCTATGTCTGCCATGCTCACTGTCTCTGTATTTAACAGTCAGGACACATGCACATTTATTGAGACCTAAGAGTACCTCCGGGTGCAGGAGGTGGGCAGTACAGCCCCTTCCCAGCAAAGGAAAGTTCAGCGTTTCAGAGGAGCCTGGGACTTTGTAGTGTTCAGCCTTGTCCCGAGGCTGTTTTTCAGATTTGTGTCCCATACGTAGTAGCAGGGATGGGTATTTTTCAGGCTGTTTGTTCCCATAGCACTAAACACTGGTGGCAGCCGTCTTGTGTCTGAAGGGGACAGACTGATGTCTTTCTGTATTTCTATTTCTTCCATGTGTCCCCTTAGAGACATTCCTTACGTCCTAGAAGGCGTCTAGGCCCGCCATTTAAAGCTAGATAAATTTTCACAAATAAAAACGAGTCAAGGGTTTGGGGGAGAGGGAGCTGACAGTATGAGTACCCTTATCAAATAACATAAAACAAAGCTGGGGAGCAGTTACCTTTGCTTTGGGGGGCTTGGCCAAGAGAGCCTGAGTTGATCTGGGAGCTGCTTACACAGGTGTCTACTTGGGGAAGGTTCACGACCCTTTCTTCTTCAGTAGAATTCTTCTTAAACACCTTCATTGCCTAGCGGCGTTTCAGTTTAAATTCTAGAAATTTGATTGGTCCATTTTACATTTCTTGTGTTTCTTCAATGGCTGTTTCCTCACATCAGCCAGCTACTCTTTTGTTGCTGTTGTTGTTTTATTTTGCTTTTGTTCCTAAACATGGTGCATGTATTTTGAGTTCTTGGGTCGTCTCCCTTACAGAACTGGCTGCCCAGGACCTCTGGTGAAGTCGCGTTTAAAATGTTTGCCAACACAGCTTTCTTGCTGACGCAGCTTCAGGTGTCGCGGGGAAGGGCATCGACGGAGGGCTCTCCAGTGAGAATGCTAATCTGTGTCAAAGAGGACACAGCTCAGATGTTGTCATGGACAGGGCACAGCTTTAGTCAGCCTCTTAACAATTTCACACTGACTTTTTTTTTATCCATATAGATGGCTTCAGAAGCGCACAAATAGTTGAACAATGGCGCCATCATTTTGAAGCGTTCCTTGAGGTCAGAACCTAAAGGAAATAAGATTGAAGCTAGAAATTACTTTGAGCAAAACTGAATTTTAATACAAATAGAAAGTGGTGGCCTTGGCCACGACATTTCTCCGGGCTTCTCATGTTAGACGAAATGCATAGGCTTTCTAACCGCAGCAGAGTTGAGCGAACCCAGAAGGGTGTGAAGACTCTGTGGGTCAGCCAAACCTTCTGCTACCCTGACATTGTCCAGACGAAGGGCAGGGTGAATCGTGTATGCGGAAGGTCATGTGCAAGAGGCGATTGTTACTTTGTTCTTAGAAGGGGAACCGTTCTTGGACTTGCTTTAAGTTAGTCTGATTTTTTTTTTTTAAATAACTACTTGTAACTCTTCCTGCTAATTACTTACACACGTTCTCTCTCTCTCTCTCTCTCTCTCTCTCTCTCTCTCTCTCTCTCTCTCTCTCTCTCTCCCTCCCTCCCTCCCTCCCTCCCTCTCTCTCTCTCTCTCTCTCTCTCTCTCTCTCTCTCTCTCTCTCTCTCTCTCTGCAGTGTTCTCTCTCCTCATCTGAAGAAGAAAGATTTATCGGCATCAGGAGACCTAAAACGCCAACCTCAGCTGACTTCTCCGACCTTCACACCCAGACGAACTGGACCAAGTCCCTGCCGCTGCCAACACCCGAAGAGAAGACGCGGCAGCAAGCCCAGACGGTCCAGGCTGATGTTGTTCCTATTAACATAACTGGTATGCTTTGCAGGGCAGACAGAGTCAGGATGTCCTTGGGAGAGTGTCTGTGGCTTTGTTTGCTATATGCTGTTAGCATTTTCTTTATGCCTTCAAGTGAAGAGCGAGGGGCTGGCCTCCTGCTCTTGGTTTGATGAAGGAAATACTAGAACTATGTATGTGTCTGCATGAAAAACACCCATTGTTTGTTAGATGTGGACACTGACCACAAATATTCTGTCAGAGAACTCGGTGGTTCAACCATTCATGCAAGAGATGGCTTTTGAATTGCACTGTTCTTAACTAAGGTTTTGGTTCTGTAGGAATGTCCTGTAAATGTGGTCCTTAGCAGCAAAAATTGTATACTCCCATAAGAAATATTTCTAGAAGTGAAAAAAAATTTCGTTTTGTTTATACTCATTATTTTCTTACTTTTTGTTTGTTCAAACAGAAAAGGAGGAAATGCTTGAGATAAAGGCATAAAGTAAATTAATAACCAAAGCATATCTTTAAAAAAAAAATCTTAGTAGAACGATAAAAGTATGCTTTGGTTTCTATAATTTGACTCTCAATCCTAAAATAAAGATCCATTTCTGCCAAGGAGACGACTTTATGGTTGGCACATTGGCAGTACTGTGGCTTCTAACTGCTGAGTTGAATCGTCAACTCTTTTGATGATTAAGGCAGCAAGTAGCAAAACATGGAGAGCTCCGAACTGAGGCTCGCACCTCTAGAGGAGCTGTTAACAAGATTCCAGATTGGCCATCTTTATCCGTTCTGTGGTCTTCCAAGAGAATTGGTAAGCAGTGTGAGAAAGGCACAAAACACAAAATGGTAGAGTCCACAGTAGCTGGGCAAGGCCCCGAGTTTAGTCCTCAGTGTGTGTGTGTGTGTGTGTGTGTATACACACACAAATTGTAGCATCAATCATCATAGTAGTATCAACTAACTATGGTGGTGTATTACATAGAAATAAGGGAGTAGTGTCATATACACAAAATCCACACAAAGCCTGGTCTCTATGCCCTTAAATCTGGCTGACCAAGAGAACGTTTTCATTAACTAATAGGATGAAAGCCTACAGCATCCTTCTATCTTTTGAGGCTATTGCTGTTGGAAGGCTTGTTACCATGGTGCCAGTAAACTTGCGAGGACCAGTAACATTTATATAAGAGTTGTTTAAAAAAAAAAACTTAAGAGTATATTTAGAAATTATGAGTAGAATTTCCATGGAAATTTAATAAACACATGAATGATTTTCAATTCCATGTACATATTTTACTTAGGAAACAGCATGGCATTTTAATCCATTTTCTTCGTAAACAGCATTGCTGATGTCTGCGAGCATGCCTCCCTTCCACCTGGCTCCCATCTTTAAAATATTATTTTTGTAAGTAGCTGTGCTGTAGAACAGTGTGCTGCTTACTCCCTATTTCATTGGGCATCAGTATGCTTATATTTTCTACAAGAAAACGAGTCATCTGATGGATTAAGTGCAGAAGACATGTAATTATGTATGACTAAAAGCATCGAAACCGTATTATAAGCTCGGCATATTGTGCCATGAACTATGACAACCGTTAAAGGAATTAGAGTAAAAGGTTCTGCCTTGAAATGAGCGGAGTGAAGCTGGAGTTAGGGAGGAGTTCAGGCATAGAGAAGCGTTTGTAGTGAAATGTATCCTCACAGATGGCTCACCCAGTTGTTTCTCTTAGCTTTCTTACCTGTTTGGCAGCTAAGTAGATGTGAATTACCTATAAAAGGAGGCTTTTAAATGCCACCCACACAAGGTGAATGAATGCTAATAATGAACTGGACGGCCTGAGTTCTTTAAAATGCAATCTGTTTTTAATCGAGTAGTTGGCATTTCCGCAGAATGCCAACAGCTCTGTACATTTTGATCCGTTTTCTGGATCTGTGTGTTCACATAGACACACATGTATCTTAAGGAGGCGTTTCTCTAGTCTGGTCCAAAGAAGCAATAGGTTTAAAGCTTTCTTTTTGGGTAGCTGGATTGGCACAGGTTCTTCTTCAACCTCCAACCCTTTAAATTATTTCTAAAATTCCAGATTTATTTAGATTAAAAAATGCCACTGCTTGTAGGAAATGGCCACATGCTTATTAATTGGTTTTTTTTGGCGAGGCTTTGGAAAAACAGATGCTAATACATATATGGCTTCAAATCCCGAGTGGCGCCTACCAGGGTTAGAGACACAGAACAGCGAGCCAATGGCTGGACACAGTGAGCCCCTGGCCTGCGAGGGGATTTAATCCCTTTAGTTACAGTCTTGCAGAGACTTGGTATTTCTAAAGGTTAAGGAGGGGAAATGTTTGAAATAAAAAGAACATGTGACTATGCTCCATCGTCTGCCACGTGGATCATGTCTGCCACGTGGATCACGTCTTCCACCTAAAAGATTAGCGTATGGGTCAACACACTTGGAAAGCATTCGCAAACTGTTTTCACTCTGATGTTTGGGCTGATGCCGTGTTATCAGTGAAAGGAAACAATTCAGTTCAACAGATAATTATCTCCTAACTACATGGTCCTGGACATTAAGTGAGTGCCGTTGAGGATGCCAGGGTATACAAGTCGTAGCCTCTGCTTAAGGAGATGTGTAGACCCCAGCCTGTGGCACAGACTTTTTTAGTCACAGTGTGAAACACTGTGAATGTTGTAGATAGATTTTCATCTTCATGTGGTTTGCGTCACAATTTTCTTAGTAATTGGTTGGTGGTTGTTTTTTATTTCTACCCTGTGAGGGCAGAAAACTGAAGATTAAGATACAACTTTCTGATAATATTTTGCCCATTTTTAATGCCCATAAAAGGAATATCATTTCTTTTGCTTCAGGAAACTAATAAAGCACTGAACGACTTCCTTTTCAGCGCTGTTTAAGATGTTGTGTGTTGTGGGCCTGTTTAATGGTACCCACTGACATTTCAGGCCCTGCTCTGAACTGCTTCTGCTTTCTTCTATTCAGAGCAAAGTTGCCAAGATTTGCAAGTTCACAAGCATTTATTAGTCTGCTCCTCAGTGGAGGGTGTGTGTTTAAGAATTACTTCATTTTAATGAGACCAGGTTCACACTTCATTCCTGTGAAGTAGAAGTTTCATTATCCGTCACGTGCCCACTTTGAAGATATGACAATATTACTAAACAAGAGTGACCAGTTCATACTTTTCTCATGCATAAGATGACGGTCAAAGTATGGGATTTATATACATGTATGTATTTTTTAAAATCTCATTTATAAGAGAATAACTATGTAAAAAGACCAATCCAGCAAAACTTCCTTTAACCAAAATGGCGAATAATTCAGATCAGTCTGTAACTGATGATGTCAGAGACCTTATTATTTTCTGGTTTCCCATAGTGTGCTAATCTGCTGGAACTCTGGGCAAACTGCTCTGTGGATGCGGTCCTGGGTTGCACTGCCTGAAACGGGATTAACTTTTAAAGATGCAGATAGGAAGTGGAGATGCAGCGCTTGCCCATCGTGTGTCGGACCCTGGGTTCAAGTCCTGGCACCTTAAAAAATGATGTACAAGAAAGGAAGCGTTCAGCTTTGACAGCATGAGTGTTGCTGGGTCTCACTGTGGTGCAAGTACTCTATCATTATAAGGCGATTTGGTTTCCATTACAGTTACGTCTCACACTATGATGATTTCACACCCCATCCAAATTGTTAGCCTTCTTGACCAATATTTGATAAGCTCAGACTTTGGCTTGTTGTAACACACAAGCATGATTACTGGTCTCCGTAGGATGACCAGATGAATACAATGTATTTCATGCCATTGGTACATACATACTGATGTAAAGATTGAGCTTTGTGATCCAATCACGATATGAAGTACACATTCTCAAGTGACAAAGAATCATCCTCACAGTGTGTCATTGGCAAATTTGCAGTTTGCTTAGAAGTGAGATGGAGGTGTCTGTCTTCCTTTGGAGGACACACAGTGGACACTGGAAACAGCCTTCTGGTGATACTGTGCTTCCCTTCTTTACGCATCCGTCCTTCAGCCTCCCATCGTCATGTGACTGGCTAACCTCATTATTAATACCTTCTTATCATGTTACAAGCTTCTGGAAGGACGTGCATGGTGTCAGCTTGCTTGACCATAACATTGCTTTGCTTCTTCTACTATTCTATGTCAGGGGAGAACTTTGATCGTCAGGCCAGCCTTCGGCGGTCTCTAATTTACACAGACACTCTGGTAAGACGGCCGAAGAAAGTCAAAAGGAGAAAGACTATTTCAGGAATCCCTGACATCATTCAGAAGGAGCTAGGTATGGCTCGTCAGCGTTGTGTTCTGTTGCCCCTCCTCGCTGCCTCAGTTTACCACACTAACCTCATGTGGGCGGTGCTGTCACTGACACACGTTCTGGTGGCCAACTTGTGGATGAGGTCTTAGGTGAATGTCACACCCTGTGCAGTAGAGCTGCTTTGGGGAAAAAGGATGGAGGAGGGATTCCATGCACACTTAGCACCATAGGAGTTAAGAATTCCATCATCATCTCCAGGGACCTTGAGCATTACTTCTATCTATGTTTTCATTTACCTTTTATTTAGCTCTGGGGTTTGCCCAGATGGAACCCTCATTCTAAGATGACCTCAGGAGGAACACTTGCTAGTTATTCCGACAATGCCGGGGGCATGTTGTCCTAAGAGGTGGCAGCCTGAGGTTATTTAATAGTAAATGTCAATGCTATAGAAAGTGGTCATGGCCGGGCGGTGGTGGTGCACGCCTTTAATCCCAGCACTTAGGAGGCAGAGGCAGGCGGATCTCTGTGAGTTCGAGGCCAACCTGGGCTACCAAGTGAGTTCCAGGAAAGATGCAAAGCTACACAGGGAAACCCTGTCTGGAAAAACCAAAAAAAAAAAAAAAGTGCTCATGAGGCTGCTGAAATGGCTTATTGATAAAGGCACCTGCTGCCAAGGCTAATGACCTGAGTTTGGTCCCTGGGACTCACACTGCAGAAGGAGAGAATCAGCTCCCGAAAGTTGTGCTCTGACCAACACATGTATGCATCGCACGTGCACACATGTAACAAATACATGTAACAAAAGTGTAAACTACGTTCACATGTGTTTGGCCATACCTCCTCCATTTAAAGCAAACAGTTCCATGGCTTCTTTTGTTCGACTTGAAAAGCAATCGGGCTGGTGGAGTTGTTAGCTCGCTGTCCCCTTGCCCAGTGTTCATGCTTATTTTTCCATTTGCTGTGATAAAGCTTTCCTGCACCTCCTGCGATCATTTCGTCCCCTCGTGTTTCAATGGGGCCCAGCAGGCACAGCTTAGCACACCCCAGCACCAGGCTGCTCCGGTTTGAATCCCGACTCTCAGTCATTCTCTGAGTAACCCTAGACACATCACTCCACCTTTCTGGGTCCCCTTCTTCATTCTACACATGGAATGATGACCTCAATAGAGTCTGTCTCATAGGGTTCTTTGAGGACCAAATGAATTTGTATACAGGATGTACTTGGTCCCTGGTACATTGTACAGGTCACTGTTATTATCGTGGGACATTATGTTACTGCCTTGAAATTCACTTCTTTGTCAGCCTGTGGACTTATTTCATAATAGTTACTTTAGCCTGATGTTTTAATTTACTTTTATTTACTGTTGAAGGTTATACTCGAGAAATGCAAGAGTCATTATCTCTGAAATTGCTTACGAGTCTTTGAGTCAAAATGAGCTTACCCTAGCAACAGTGATATATTAATTACACGCCTTGAGGTCCTGTTTTAGCTTCCAAGGCTAAAGAGATTGCGTGTATTCATTTCCCTCCAGGGTTGATGTTTAAATACCACGTAGGAGGAAGGACGGACCCACTCTTCCTTAACTGGCATTTCCCCCCTTATCAACATCCAGTCCTAAAGGGTTATACACCCTCCCTTCTGGACTGTAGAGTCTTTTGCAAAAGAAGAGGAGCACTTTGCCTCTGCTGCTCATAGCTCCTGTACCAGAGTTTGGTTCCCACTCTTACTGAGTGTCCCACAGCTGTGACCTCCGAGGGCACCTACTCTCTCACGCACATCCCCCTGTGACTGTGCATGCATGTGCTCCCACACTGAAAGTAAAACCACCCCACAAAGATCAGCAACAAACAGAACAGACCACAGGCAGAGCCAGGCATTGGTGAGTCACACCTGTAACCCCAGCACTTGGGAGGGGGAAGCCAAATTGCCCTGGGCTACAAAGTCAAGACCCTGTCTCAAAAATAAACAAACAAACAAACAAACAAACAAATAAATAAATAAACAAATAAAAGGACAGCCAACCGAACAAACACAAAACAAAAGAAACTGAATTGCACCACCGACAGAATTCCTCAAGTCTGTCTTTGTTTAGGCGCTCCATGGGCTTTGAGCCCTCCGTGAACGCTATGTCATCTCTGTACTAGTGACGTGGGCACACATTGTTCTCTTTTCAAAGCCTAGCTGTATCTCATTCTTTCAAGTCGTGTCCCCTCTTGAGGTTACAGCTCACACATGTGAGAAAGTAAGAAGTGTTCATATGCACAGAAGCGTTGCCTGGGCTGATCCCTTGTGGTGCTCAGGCAATGCTTTCCCATGAGCTGGAGAAGATGGACTTCAGAGAAGTAGCCGTAAAACCAGGCAGTTGGGGTCTTTGTAAGCCACCAAGGTGGCCTTTCCAGCCGAAACAGTAGGTTCTGGATGACTTTGTACAGAGTGTAAGAAGAGTTTGGCCAAGATAAAGATGCACATCCACGCACGTATTCTGTATGAGTTGTCCTCTGATATCTGTTATGTGAAACCTAAAACCTGAAAATTAGGATTATTTATGTGTATTAATGTTTTACCTGTGTACATGTATGTGGAACACATGTATGCCTGGTGCCTGTGGAGATCAGAAGAGAGTATCCAATGCCCTGGGACTAGTTCTTTTAGAGGGTTGTGAGCTGCCATGTAGGTGCTGGGATTGAACCTGGGTACTGTGTAAGAACAACAGGTGCCCTTGACTGCTGAGCCGACTCCGCAGCCTGAGAACTGGGATCTTCAATCACTTGCTTTATTGAACCAACCAGGAAGAGCCAATAGCTCAGTTGCTTAGCTGATCTTCAGAAATGATCCCATCCATCCAAGTCTGCAATTATAACACTGTTTTTAATTGATGAAGAGTTCCTTTCTCTTTTGCATGTGACACGGGATCACCCCTAGTGATCACTTTCCCCATATTATCTATTCTACAACCTCAGCCACAGAGGAGGAGGCAACTGGTACAGTCAACGATGTGCCTGGGTGACAGCTAGGGGGCGCTGTGTCAAAGAGCAGGTGACTCGGGCCTGTGATCCCAGCTGCTCAGGAGATGGAGGCAGGAGAATAACAAGTTCACTGTCTGTTGAGGCTACAGGATGAGTTCAGGGCCAGCTTAGGTATCTTAGTGAGACTATCTCAAAGTTAAAAATATAGAAAAGGGGGGAGGGGGCAGGGGCTGTATAGCTCAATGGCTGGGCACTCGCCTAGCATGTGCAGGGCCTGGGCTCAATCTGTAATACTGGGACAAAAATCAGAGCAAACCAACTAAAGGACAATTGGAGCTGGTGATGTAGCTCCGACTGTAGAGTGCTTGCTCAGTATGCTTCAAGCCCTGGCTTTGATCATCATCCCTATCTAAAACAGATGTGATGGTGCCCACCTAGAATCCCAAAATTGAGGAGGTGAGGCAGGGCAGCCAGAAGTCCAGGATCATCCTCAGGAACACAGAAAGTCTGAGGCAAGTCTGGGCAACAGTGGGAGGAAACCCTTTCAAAAGAAGCAATTAGATCACAACTCCTTTTTAAGTTTTAGTTCTTAAAATTTTTTTCTTACAATATATATTTTGATCGTATTCTTACCCCTCCCCCAATCCCTCCTAGAGCCTCCCTGTCTCCCTACCCACCTAACTTCATGTTCTTTCTCGAAACGAAACAAATTGCACATGTATGCACTCACTTGTGCACATCCACAGCCATACCCAAGATGGAGTCTATTTTGTATTGGCCAATGGTTCCTCAGTGAGCCTGAGTATAGTGACCCATTGTTACTCCATTAAACAACTCATTTTCCCTCTCCCAGCAAGTATCAATTGGACATAGCTTTTTGGTTAGGGGTGGGAGCCTGTATCCATTTTCTCTTTTCAGTGCTGGGATCCTGTCTGTCTTGGACCTGAGTAGGCCTTGTGTGTGCTGCCACAGTCTCTGTGAGTTCATCAATGTGAATGTGTCATTCCTGTTCTATCTAGAAGACATTGATTCCTTGGAGGCATCCATCACCTCTGGTTCTTACCATCTTTCCATTTTCTTTTCTGAATAGATTCCTGAGTCTTGAGAGACGAGTTTGATGAAAACATCCCACTTAGGACTGAATCTTCCAAAGTCTCTCACTCCCTACCTATTGTCCAGTTGTGGGTCTCTGTGTTAACTCCCATGGACTGCAAGAAGAAGTGTGTCTGGATATGGGCTGAGCAAGTCATTCGTCTATGGGTATAGCAGTATGTCATCAGGAGTCAATTTTTTGCTATGTTCCCTTTGCAGAATAATAGTAGTAGGTTTTCTTGGCCACTTTAGCAGTGTTAGGTAGGGGTTCCATCTCATAAGTGGGCCTTAAATCTAATCAGCAAGTGGTTGGTTACTTTCATAACATGTGTATACCAGGATATCATGCAGGCAGATTGCTCATGCAGCTCTAAAAATTCATGGCTGGGTGAGATTGATGATTGCTTTTCTCCTTTGGTAACATGTATAGTACTTTGCAGCACTGTGAACATTATTGAGTAAGGATGAAGATTCTAGTTGGGCACAAGCTTGCTTTCTCCATGATTGATGGCATAAGTATGTTGTGTCCTCAGCAACAGGGTCTTACCATCAGGTTGTAGAAGGTAACCAATAGTATTGGCAGTAACCTGTGATGTTTGGCAAGGATGGAGGGTCTGTGGGACCCCTTTGGTCAATGACTCAAAAAGATAACTAATTTCTGGTACTAGGGATTTTAATTGGTAGTATATGATATCTAGTTGGGGCATTCTCTTCTCATATTTTGTTGTTACTACATTTAAATACCTTTTATATCTGTCTGTCTGTCTGTCTGTCTGCCTGTCTAAGCTTCTATAGTAGTAAGTTTCCATATGGTTTTTCAAAAGGCTTTTATTACATTCTGTTTTTAAATATTGGCTAGTAGGATCGGTGGGTAGAGTGGGAAGAAACATTTGAGTAAGATTCTACTTATATATTTTAAATTCAAATAAATTCCACGAGCTCCGGTGAAACCTGAATGACCGACT